CCCACTGCCCCCACAGTGTGCGACTCCCTGTACCCCAATGGGACGCTGAGCGGGGCCCCCCAGCCGCCCCCCTGGTACGTGGACCAGCGCTTCACCCTCTCTGCTCTCTGTGTCCTCGTCATCTTCCCGCTCTCTGTCCCCAGGGAGATTGGCTTCCAGAAGTACTCCAGGTACTGCCTGGGCTATCCCTGGGGTGGCTCACCCCTGGGTACCCTGTACCCCAGGTTTCCTCCCGGGAACCTGCAGGGCCACGGGACCCCCCTCCCTTTCTCCCAGCTGTGTGCTGACCCTCTGCCATGTCCTGGCAGCATCCTGGGCACACTGGCTGCCTGCTACCTCACTCTGGTCATCATCCTGAAATACTACCTGCAGGCAGAGAGCCTGAGCTTGACCAGCCCCCCTCAGCCCTCCAGGTAAGGGGGTCTGCGCCGTGTCTCTCCTGCCCTGACCTCCATGACATCAACAGTGGTGTGGGGCAGGGCTGGAGGTGGGGCAGGGCTGGAGGTGGGGCAGGGCTGGAGGTGGGGCAGGGGTGGTCCTGGGCCCTGTGTGTGTGGGGCAGAGGGAGCTGGGGACAGCACACAGTAGTGGTAGGTGAATGGCAGCTCCCAGTCCCATCTTTCACCCCAGCAATTCCCCTTTCTCCCAAAATCACTGTGGAGGAGGTTCCCATGGTGGCATCCAGGCTGCACAATTTATGCACCGAGGTTCCCTCTGCTTTTGTGAGCCTCACACCCTCTGCTCTGTGCTTCCTCCCTACGTGCCACAGGTCCTCCTCCTGGGCCTCTGTCTTCAGTGTCATTCCCACCATCTGCTTTGGCTTCCAGGTAGGTCACCCTGGCCCCCGGTCCCAGCTGCCAGGGCAGTGCTGGCAGCCTCCCACAGCATCCCAGACTGGGGACGCCATCCCTTGAAGGGGAGGCTGCAGGGAAGGGGACCTGTGGCTGTCCCCAGAGGTGGCTGCAGGGCAGGATGCAAGTCCCTGGGGATGGGACAGAGCAGGGCAGGGCACCTGTAGGTGACAGGGAGGATGCTGGGGGTGGGGGTTGTCCCTGCATGGGGCCCCAGCACCATTCCCCCTTGCCTTGCAGTGCCACGAGGCGTGTGTGGCCATCTACAGCAGCATGAGCAACCGGAGCTTCTCCCACTGGGTCACTGTCTCTGTACTGTCCATGCTCGTCTGCCTGCTCATCTACTCCCTCACGGGTAACCCAGCACCAAACCCTTCACCCCTCCTTGCCCCGGGGTGCCCTCCCCATGGCTCACCCCTTCCCTTGAGCTCCCCCCTCCTCCTCAGGCTCCCCCCTCGCTGTCAGCAGGGCTCTATGGCTACCTGACCTTCGGCGAGGCCGTGGCCTCCGATGTCCTGATGTCCTACCCCGGGAACGACCCGCTCGTCGTCGTCGCCCGCCTGCTCTTCGGCGTCTCCATCGTCACCATCTACCCCATCGTGGTGCTACTGGGCAGGTGAGGGGGTGGTGACGGGCTGGGTGCCCCCCCAACCGGTGCAGCTCCCCTGGGTGCCACAAGCGCCCTGATCCCCTCTTGCAGGTCGGTGGTGAAGGATTTGTGGGCAGCCCCCAAGCGCGGGGCCGCGGCGGTGTCTGAGGCGCGGG